ACCCCGAGAGCATCTGGTCAGAGGGGTGGTGGCACAGGAATCCTCATCTCTCCCAAGTGGACATTCTAAATTTTTCCCCTAACCCACCTGTCTATCTCCTCATTTGAATTCCATGCTGTCACAGTCACTAGCCCATTTAAGCTTAATATCCTTGTCATCTATCGCCCTCCAGGTTCCCTTGGAGAGTTCATCAATGAGCTTGACGCCTTGATAAGTTCCTTTCCTGAGGATGGCTCACCCCTCACAGTTTTGGGGGATTTCAACCTCCCTATGTCCACATTTGACTCATTTCTCTCTGCCTCCTTCTTTCCACTCCTCTCCTCTTTTGACCTCACCCTCTCACCGTCCCCCCCCTACTCACAAGGCAGGCAATACGCTTGACCTCATCTTTACTAGATGCTGCTCTTCTACTAATCTCACTGCAACTCCCCTCCATGTCTCCGACCACTACTTTGTTTCCTTTTCTCTCTCGCTCTCCTCCAACACTACTCACTCTGCCCCTACACAGATGGTAATGCGCCGCCGCAACCTTCGCTCTCTCTCTCCCACTACTCTCTCCTCTTCCATCCTATCATCTCTTCCCTCTGCTCAATCCTTCTCCCTCCAATCTCCTGATTCTGCCTCCTCAACCCTCCTCTCCTCCCTTTCTGCATCCTTTGACTCTCTGTGTCCCCTATCCTCCCGGCCGGCTCGGTCCTCCCCTCCAGCTCCGTGGCTTGATGACTCATTGCGAGCTCACAGAACAGAGCTCCGGGCAGCGGAGCGGAGCGGAAATGGAAGAAAACTAAACTCCCTGCCGACCTGGCATCTTTTCACTCCCTCCTCTCTACATTTTCTTCATCTGTTTCTGCTGCTAAGGCCACTTTCTACCACTCTAAATTCCAAGCATCTGCCTCTAACCCTAGGAAGCTCTTTGCCACATTTTCCTCCCTCCTGAATCCCCCCCCCCCCCCCCCCCCCCCTCCTCTCTCTCTGTGGATGACTTCGTCAACCACTTTGAAAAGAAGGTTGATGACATCCGATCCTCGTTTGTTAAGTCTAATGACACTGCTGGTCCTACTCACACTGCCCTACCCTATGCTTTGACTTCTTTCTCCCCTCTCTCTCCAGATAAAATCCTGCGACTTGTGACTGCAGGCCGCCCAACAACCTGCCCGCTTGACCCCATCCCCTCCTCTCTTCTCCAGACCATCTCCGGTGACCTTCTCCCCTACCTCACCTCGCTGATCAACTCATCCTTGACCGTTGGCCATGTCCCTTCCGTCTTCAAGAGAGCGAGAGTTGCTCCCCTTCTCAAAAAACCAACACTCGATCCCACTGATGTCAACAACTACAGACCAGTATCCCTTCTTTCTTTTCTTTCCAAAACTATTGAGCGTGCCGTCTTTAGCCAACTCTCTTGCTATCTCTCTCAGAATTACCTTCTTGATCCAAACCAGTAAGGTTTCAGGACTGGTCATTCAACTGAGACTGCTCTTCTCTGTGTCACGGAGGCTCTCCGCACTGCTAAAGCTAACTCTCTCTCCTCTGCTCTTGTCCTTCTAGACCTGTCTGCTGCCTTTGATACTGTGAACCATCAGATCCTCCTCTCCACCCTCTCCGAGCTGGGCATCTCCGGCGCGGCTCACTCCTGGATTGCGTCCTACCTGACCGGTCGCTCCTACCAAGTGGCGTGGCGAGAAGCTGTCTCCGCACCACGTGCTCTCACCACTGGTGTCCCCCAGGGCTCAGTTCTAGGCCCTCTCCTTTTCTCCCTATACACCAAGTCACTTGGCTCTGTCATATCCTCACATGGCCTCTCCTATCATTGCTACGCTGACGATACACAACTAATCTTCTCCTTTCCCCCTTCTGATAACCAGGTGGCGAATCACATCTCTGCATGTCTGGCAGACATATCAGTATGGATGACGGATCACCACCTCAAGCTGAACCCTGGCAAGACGGAGCTGCTCTTCCTCCCGGGGAAGGACTGCCCGTTCCATGATCTCGCCATCACGGTTGACAACTCCGTTGTGTCCTCCTCCCAGAGTGCGAAGAGCCTTGGCGTGACCCTGGACAACACCCTGTCGTTCTCCGCTAACATCAAGGCGGTGACCCGCTCCTGCAGGTTCATGCTCTACAACATTCGGAGAGTACGACCCTGCCTTACACAGGAAGCGGCACAGGTCCTAATCCAGGCACTTGTCATCTCCCGTCTGGATTACTGCAACTCACTGTTGGCTGGCCTCCCTGCCTGTGCTATTAAACCCCTACAACTCATCCAGAATGCCGCAGCCCGTCTGGTGTTCAACCTTCCCAAGTTCTCTCACGTCACCCCCCCTCCTCCGCACACTCCACTGGCTTCCAGTTGAAGCTCGCATCCATTACAAGACCATGGTGCTTGCCTATGGAGCAGTGAGGGGAAGGGCACCTCTGTACCTTCGGGCTCTGATCAGTCCCTACACCCAAACGAGAGCATTGCGTTCATCCACCTCTGGCCTGCTGGCTCCCCTTCCTCTGCGGAAGCATAGTTCCCGCTCAGCCCAGTCAAAACTGTTCGCTGCTCTGGCACCCCAATGGTGGAACAAGCTCCCTCACGACGCCAGGACAGCGGAGTCACTCACCACCTTCCGGAGACATTTGAAACCCCACCTCTTTAAGGAACACCTGGGATAGGATAAAGTAATCCTTCTACCCCCCCAAAAATTGTAAAGTGGTTATCCCACTGGCTATAGGGTGAATGCACCAATTTGTGAGTCGCTCTGGATAAGAGCGTCTGCTAAATGACGTAAATGTGCCCTTGAGCAAGGCACTTAACCCTAATTGCTCCTGTAAGTCGCTCTGGATAAGAGCGTCTGCTAAATGACTAAAATGTAAATGTAAATGTAATATTAAAGAGAATATCTGCTTTGATATTAGGCCTACAGTATCTAAAGATTGTGTTCTTCAACCCCTGGGAGAATAGCGCTACACTACATGACCAAAAAGTATGTGGACATCTGCTCATCGAACATCTGATTCCAAAATCATGGGCATTAATATGGAGTTGGTCCCCCCTTTGCTGCTATAACAGCCTCCACTCTTCTGGGAAGGCTTTCCACTAGATGTTGGAACATTGCTGTGTGGACTTGCTTCCATTCAGCCACGAGAGCAGTGGCGATTTTAGCATGTCAATCTTGGTGGGGCAAACACATTTTTTGGCGGGGGATGCATGCCATCAAAGCCACTACGCACCACAACAATAAATAATACATTTGATTTGAGAAGTGCGATGGTAGAGCGTCTGCTGAGGATTGTAACTGCAGTTACAGCTTGCTTTTCAGCTTTGAACATGAACTCAAGAAACAAATGATGTTATGCTGAAAGAATGAACTGAGATGCAGATAACCATTTTTTGTGCAAGTATATCTTTACGTCCGTATATCAGATCTGATATAGCTTATCATTGTGAGGACAGATGCTGGGAGATGAGAAGCAGGTACAGGGAGTGAATATTTAATATAAACAGACATGAAACAAAACACGGACAGCGTCTGGACAGGGGAAACATAACGACAAGCAGTGATGAAGTCCAGGTGAGTCCAATGAAGCGCTGATGCACGTAACAATGGTGACAGGTGTGCGTAATGATGGGCAGCCTGGCGCCCTTGAGCGCCAGGGAGGAGGAGCGGGAACAGGCATGACAATCATAGATAGAACATTGGTATGGCAAAGCAAAGTACTGTAGACTACTGAAGCATTATCACAATAAACGTGTAGTAATGTGTATTTGATAGCCCGCTCTATGTTTGTTTTGGTTTATGTTTATTTTTCTGATCGCAAATGGTACGTTGACGGTGATTATCATATACAGTGGCAATTTTAGCATTTAAATCTTGGTGGGGCAAACAAAACATTTCTTGGTGGGGATGCATGGCAGAAAAGCCACAAAACACTAAACAATACATTAATTGCACTATAATGGTGACAAACGGTGCCCACAAACTGTTAGGGCCTACATAAACCTGTCCCAACAGCAGAGTCCCAACACCTTACCACTGCTACACCTGGCTATCAGCGGAGCCATGTTTGGCAGCGAAACAGTTCATTCAGCCTCATTTACTGCCTTTTAAAAAAACATAGCTGATATGGCTGACTTGCTTAAACAAATGTGGTTTCTACTGACAATTGAGATGTACAAACTGGTATAAGGGGACGACAAGCAGATAAGAGGCAATCTGTAATTTTGATTAAGACATTAATGAGCGAGCTAGGACGGACGTAGTCAATATAACTACTTGTTCAGCACTTTTGAAAAATGTACAGCGACAGAATTCAGAACATGGGCCGTTCTTACAGTATTCTCCCTGTACACCAAGTCAGAACCGTAGGCGAAATTAAGACGGGAAAATAGACCAAATTATTAGGGTGAGGCACATGGGCTACTAACAGTTTACTACACAACATACACTTAATATTACTTTCTTAGCTATAGTATACATATCTCCCTGGCATATTACATAATTTATGCAGCAGCATACAATACATTTTTGGACTCACCTTGTTGTGCTGTGCTCACTTGAACAGGAAGGTGGCGCGGCGGTCCTTCGTGGGCAAATTTTGCCATCAAACTTTGTCATCAAAGTCTGGCATTCTCTGGATTTCTGGTGCTTTCAAGACAACTGGCAACTGACACGTATTAATGCGAAAACAACATGCAAAACAGGCTTCTTTTTTTTGGCCAAAAATGTGGGCTTCAAAACAGGTGGGGCTCTGCTCATGTTCACAACAGACTGATCCTGGGCATCCTGCCGTCATTTATCAAGGCACCTGTTCAGGGCTGATCTACAGGGGTAAGGGTCTATCTGAGACATCCAGTCTCAGTCAGGGTATGACCACTGCACATTACAGTACTAGGCCTGCTATACTTGTCTTCTGCCACTCTTATTTACTTAGTTTTTACTTGACAATTTACTTTACTGTTAATGCTACATAAAAATATTACTTTATCACCTTTATGTCTTCCGTATACACCCTAGTTTATTGGACGCCGGGGCAATGGCCAGGTGGTGTCTCTGAGTAGGAACGGATGTATCTTTCTGTCTGTGGCGCAGCATGAACTGCTGCATGCCTTGGGCTTCAACCACGAGCAAACACGCAGTGACCGTGATAGCAATGTTCAGATCCTGACTCAGAACATTATTCCTGGTTAGTGCTTTCTACGTCCATGGATGCTGGCTTTATAATATTTATTTTTAACATAATTTCATAGGGAAATAATGAATACTATGGTGTACAAGATATGTAAATATTATTCCTGAAATCTTAGTAATATTTTAATAACTTTAATGGAAAAGCCTTATTAAACTATTTACAGTGTACTACTATTTGATAATAATAATAATAATACATTAGTATTGCATTATTTGTAAACATGTAGAAACATTGAGAATGATTTATAAGAATGATAAGCTTTACAATTAATAAGCATTTACAACATTCATAATAATCTGTAAAGCATTTCTTATCATACATTTTCCATCCTAGGAAAGGAATTCAATTTCAGAAAGATCAACACGATAAACTTGGGGACTCCATATGACTATAATTCTGTCATGCACTACTCAAGGTAAATTGAGGAAATTAATATAAAGGTTTTCTTTACTGCAATAACAGCTGTAATGTTAGATGGCTAAAATAAGATAATTTTCCCTTTCATAGTCTACTCAAGTCATCCTCTAATTTCAATTGATGGCGTGAGAGCTTTTCTGCCCTATGGTTCCAGGTTTGCCTTCTCCAGGAACAGACAGCCCACCATTCTTCCAATCCCTGACAATAATGCAGTTATTGGCAGGCGACTCAGATGAGCCCCATTGATATTCTGCCCATCAATAGTCTCTACAACTGCAGTAAGTGCTATTTTAAGAAGACCTGTTTATCATAACTGTGAAGAATAAGAGTTGTGATTATTGTAACTGCCTGTAAGCTTCACCCCACCGTTGCTCAATCAATTAGAAATATTTGTGAATATAGTATTTGAATTGAAAGTTGTGTTATTCTGTTTTTATACTGTTATAAATGGGTGTACAGCTTATTTTTAAAGCCTTGAGCGATTATAGCATTTAAATCTTGGTGGGGCAAACAACAAAATGTTGTGGGGGATGCATGCCAGCAAAGCATGACTGTAAACTCTCCTTCCAGACTCACATTAAGCATCTCCAATCCAAAGTTAAATCTAGAATCGGCTTCCTATTTCGCAACAAACCCCTTCACTCATGCTGCCAAACATGCCCTCGTAAAACTGACTATCCTACCTATCCTTGACTTCGGCGATGTCATTTACAAAATAGCCTTCAACACTCTACTCAGAAAATTGGATGTAGTCTATCACAGTGCCAACCGTTTTGTCACCAAAGCCACATATACTACCCACCACTGTGACCTGTACGCTCTTGTTGGCTGGTCCTCACTACATATTCGTCGCCAAACCCACTGGCTCCAGGCCATCTATAAATCACTGCTAGGCAAATCCCCGCCTTATCTTAGCTCATTAGTCACCATAGCAACACCCACCCGTAGTATGCGCTCCAGCAGGTATATCTCACTGGTCATCCCCAAAGCCAACACCTCTTTTGGCCGCCATTCCTTCCAGTTCTCTGCTGCCAATGACTGGAACGAACTGCAAAGATCTCTGAAGCTGGAGACTCTTATCTCCCTCACTAACTTTAAGCGTCAGTTGTCAGAGCACCTTACCGATCACTGCACCTGTACACAGCCCATCTGAAATTAGCCCACCCAACTACCTCATCCCCATATTGTTATTTATTTTGCTCATTTGCAGCCCAGTATCTCTATTTGCACATCATCTCTTACACATCTATCATTCCAGTGTTAATACTAATTGTAATTATTTTGCATTATGGCCTATTTATTGCCTTACCTCCATAACTTGCTACATTTGCACACACTGTATATATATTTTCTGTTGTATTTTTTACTTTATGTTTTGTTTTACCCCATATGTAACTATGTGTTGTTGTTTTTATCGCACTGCTTTGCTTTATCTTGGCCAGGTCGCAGTTGTAAATGAGAACTTGTTCTCAACTGGCTTACCTGGTTAAATAAAGGTGAAATTTAAAACAAATTTTAAAAAGCCACTACACAACACAACACTAAACAATACATTCATTGCACTATAACGGTGACAGACGGTGCCCACAAACTGTTAGGGCCTATATAAAGCTGTCCCAACACCTTACCATTGCTACACCTGGCTATCAGTGTAGCCTTGTCTGGCAGCAAAACAGTTAATTCAACCTAATTTATTGCTTTTTTTAAAAAACATAGCTGATATGGCTGAATTGTTTAAACAAAATGTGGTTTCTACTGACAATTGAGATGTACAAACTATGGCATAAGGGGACGACAAGCGGATAAGAGGCAATCCGTAATTTCGATGAAGACAATGAGTGAGCTAGGACGGACGTAGTCAATATAACTATTTGTTCAGCACTTTTGAAATGTACAGCGACAGAATTCAGAACATGGGCCGTTCTTACAGTATTCTCCCTGTACACCAAGTCAGAACCGTAGGATAAATAAGGGGGGCATATAAGCAGACAATGAAAGCGCTTACAATATTTGATGATTACATTACTCTAAAACAGGTTATAGGCTACATGTGCACCACCAAGTCAGAATAGTAGGCAAAATTAAGAGGGGAAAATAGGCCAAATTATTAGGGTGAGGCACATGGACTACTAACAGCTTACTACACAACATACACTTTCTTAGCTACAGTATACATATCTCCCTGGCATATCATATAATTTATGCAGCAGCATACAATACATTTTTGGACTTACCTTGTTGTGCTGTGCTCACTTGAACAGGAAGGTGGCGGGCGGTCCTTCGTGGGCAAATTATGTCATCAAAGTCATTCTCTGGATTTATGGTGCTTTCAAGACAACTGGGAACTAAGAAAAAAACTAGGTTGAATCATGATAACGTCAGTGATCTTCGGGTTGTAGCTCTAGAAAGAGGCCAGAGTTTCCGACTTACAATTCCGAGTTGGATGACTGTTCAAAACTTATTTACTCAGTCGGAGCTCGTTTTTTTCCCCGAGTTCCCAGTTGTCTTGAACTCACTGAAGTCAGATTTCCCAGTTCCGAGTTAACAGTTGTTTTGAGCGCGGCAGAAATCACGCTGGATTGACAGCATGGCCAATGTTGAATGTTCATCATTTTAAGCTTGGAAAAGAGACCCTTCAACCCAGAATTGGGACCACACACCCAATCCACAGAATAGAAGGCTAGAGATTGCTTTGCAATGCTTGCAGTTAGCTACTGATTCCTTCCAAACCACTCATTGTCGAACTTGTTGTGTAATGTTTATGTCCAATGGCCGATGAGCACCGATACGTTTTATCTATAATTTCTCTTCATTATTTCTCTTAATTTGACAAGGATTAAAAAGGATTTGCCAGTAGATTGTCAACTTGATTCATGATGATGACTGCTTGCTAAGATTTTGAAAGTATGATGTTGACATGATCAGTCCAATCAAAGCTACTGTAGATATGTGATTTGACCTCATTTTATCTGTGGCCAATGACCTTGAGCCTTCTTGGATGGGCACTTCTAATTTAACTCTATGGCAGCACCCAAGGGGCTTGAATTTTCGAGCTCTACCCTTAGATCTGGCAGTGACATAGTGTCCCAATGAGTGACAGAACACTGAGCCAATCACGGCGCAACTAGAGAACATTACCAACCCCTACGCTCCGTATTTTCCACTGGCTGCCCCACCACCACAGAAAGCACTGAGCTAGGCTGAAACACATGCATTTTGGAGCTGCATTACTCAAAAAGGAAAAAAGAGACCATGTTTGTATGGAGGCTTTATTAACGCAATGATTATTATTATTTTTTTTACATTGTTTGCAAACTGATATGTGACGGGTCGCCACTGCACAAGAGCATTAGTGAGGTCGGGCACTAATGTTAGGCGATTAGGCCTGGCTCGCAGTCGGCGTTCCAATTCATCCCAAAGGTGTTCGATGGGGCTCTGTGCAGGCCAGTCATGTTCTTCCACAACGATCTCGACAATCCACTTCTGTATGGACCTCGCTTTGTGCACGTAAACATTGTCATTATGAAACAGGGAAGGGCCTTCCCCAAACTGTTGCCACAAAAGTTGGAAGCACAGAATCATCTAGAATGTCATTGTATGCTGTAGTGTTAACATTTCCCTTCACTGGAACTAAGGGCCCTAAGCCCAAACCATGAAAAACAGCCCCAGACCATTATTGCTCCTCCACCAAACTTTGCAGTTGGCAATATCTACTGGGGCAGGTAGCGTTCTCCTGGCATCCGCCAAACCCAGATTCGTCCGTCGGACTGCCAGATGGTGAAGCGTGATTAATCACTCCAGAGAACGCGTTTCCACTGCTCCAGAGTCCAATGGCGGCGAGCTTTACACCACTCCAGCCGACGCATGGCATTGCGCATGGTGATCTTAGGCTTGTGTGCGGCTGCTCGGCCATGGAAACCCATTTCATGAAGCTCCCGACGAACAGTTCTTGTGCTGACGTTGCTTCCAGAGGCAGTTTGGAACTCTGTAGTAAGTGTTGCAACCGAGGACTGACGATCTTTACGCACTACAGCACTCGTCGGTCCCATTCTGTGAGCTTGTGTGGCCTACCACTTCACGGCTGACCCGTTGTTGCTCCTAGACGTTTTCACTTCACAATAACAGCACTTACAGTTGACCGTGGCAGCTCTAGCAGGGCAGACATTTGATGAACTGACTTGTTGGAAAGGTGGCATCCTATGGCCATTCTACTGCCAATGTTTGGCTATGGAGATTGCATGGCTGTGTGCTCGATTTTAGACACCTGTCAGTAATGGGTGTGGTTGAAATAGCTGAATCCACTAATTTGAAGGGGTGTCCACATACCTTTGTATATATCATGTATTTACCACTGCTGGCGAGGATGTTATTGCTTTTTATTGTGGGATCAACATCGTTTTTAATTGCTTGTGATAAAAACAAAGAAAACAAAATGAATTAACTAGCCTGACAAATCAGATCAGATCTTTTGCCAGTAATTGGGCAAAATATCAGAATTGGGATATCTGCGTAAACGCAGCCTTAGAGATTTGGGCTGTACAGTGATTAATTCCACAGCAGTAGTAGCATGTGTGTTTTGGTGGTGGTGATGAACATATTATACCCATTTCCCTACATTTTGCCTGACAAGAGCTAATCCAAATAGAAGCAAAGTTAATACATTTATAGAAAACCATACTTTCCAAGGTATTTAGAATGTAATCCACAATGCTGCAGCTTCCAGACAATTCGACTGACACTTGTTTGCAGATAAAGCAAAAATGTACTGATGACCATAGTAATTCATCACATTCATGAAACGATGGATTCAATTTAGATATACTCACTTACCTTTGTTTTTCAAATTAAAGCCATATCTTTGTGATGCCAGCTAGCACCTAGGTTACTTTCCTGATTGTTTCTTGAAGTTGCCGTCAATCAACCGGACAGTTTATCGGTCCATGAATGCACTTACTACTGAGAGGCAAACATTCTCATGCATGATAAAGTAGGCCTACACTTCACTCTGTTCGTATCTTTCTTTGCCTTTTACGGAGCACATGTCGTACTAACCCCTAGAAACTGTGGTTCCTACGTCAGAGTGTTGTCCACATCGATTCTCAATAGGCTGGAAATAATGGTTCCCTCCTCGATAAAGATTGATTTCCTTTAGTTTTTTTCTGTTCAGTAGCCGCTTCACATTTGATCCGAAAACTGAGGCGAAACCGCGTGACAAGTCACTCCAATTCAGACTATTAACGTTGAACAAGATACAGTCAGAGGTGGAAAAATAGAAGAGTTAGAGAGAAAATATAACTTTCACTGCAGTTGAAATATATTCCAGCCCTTGCTTCAGAGATATCCTCTCATCATTGATGGACTAATTTGGAAACTCCCAGGTATCATATCTTCATACAGTCGCTACTGGGCAAAACGTGTGAATGGGTATGATGTTCTTCCCCAGAGCTAAATGACTACATGAGGGCACAAGACACCAGTTTTCACATGATACTGACTGTGTAGCACGACAGGACGCTTTCTCATCATTAAATAACTTAATCAAGAAACCATCTGTCCCCATACCACACCAAACCTAATTCAATATGATGCATAAGGACTAAGGAGCTTATGCTGATTTAACACAGTGGTAGTGTGTGTGGGTACATTTTATCAGCTCACTCACTATGGGGTATGAATCCTGTATCAGGATTCAGTTCAGTAATTGAACGGAAATGGTGCTGTACTGAAAGACCAGTTGAAAAACGGGGAGGGGTTGAGGAACGATGTCAGCATGACCACTGCTCTTTAAATACGTCACTCATTGCTTCAAGCCACCCCACACCCACAAATGGGAGCAAACCAGTGGTGGTCTGTGCCTTTAAGATGAGGGAGGATGATTATATTTTTTATAAGCATGGCCTTATTTCTATTACAGCATATTGGATGACTGTCATTAATATTCCATTCACCCAGCTCAGTGTAACATCAATAGGTTTAGGCTACTACCTGAAACAAAAATGTTCCCTATACCTATCATGAGGTTGCTACAACCTAGCCTATGAATGAAAGTTTACAACGTAGGTGCACAGGTCAAGAGACATTTTAGTAATCAAGGTGACAGACACATTCAATAAGGCCTTGCACAATCTTGCATGCATCTAGCTGATCTAGGGTGTAATCATTAGTCCAACAGTTGCAAACAATCGTTTTTATTGGACAAATTCAGGTATGTTTATCCCTGTTTTGTTCTGTTTAAGAAACGTTTTTCAACATAATTGGCAGAATGAATACACCCCTGATCACACGCAAACACAGTTAACTTTCATAGCAGCCACATATAAACAGCATGATCCCTTTGATCGTTGGGTAATTATTTCTCGCATCTACACTCTCTCCTTTTCTCTTCGCTTGTGGGCTTCAGTGCAGAACACAACAGCTGTCTGTGACCAGACAAAAAAACATTTCCATGCCAAACCTTCATATCATAACCGCTACACACAGCCTACATCGTTGTCACCATATTAGCTAACGTCAAGTCAACATAGCTACTAGAACTAACGCGCTAGTAAACCCGCTACAATCATGCAGTACAGTGTACAGTTAGCAAGCAGTTTAGGAGTTACACCGGCGGGCACCGGTGGAAATAAATTAATAAAACCAAAAGCTTACTTGGAAGAGTTCCAGTGTTGGATAGCCATAGCCAGCTAGGTAACATAGTAACCCTCTCTGTTTGAGCTGGGTGTTTGAGTAGGCTAAACTAGCTAGCTGCATTCACTAAGTAAGTGAAAAAAATACAAAATATAGCCATCTCTCGCTCTTTTGCTTCTCCTTCATTTGTTAAGAAATTAATTTGTTCAAAACTGTTCAACTATTGTCTTTCTCTTTGAGTCAACTACTCACCACATTTTATGCACTACAGCGCTAGCTAGCTGTAGCTTCTGCTTTCAGTACTAGATTAATTCTCTGATCCTTTGATTGGGTGGACAACATGACAATTCATGCTGCAAGAGCTCTGATTGTTTGGAGAAGGTCCTCCGGAATTTGTCATAATTACTGTGTATAGTCTATAGCCCTATTCGAACAGGATTAGTTTTACTGGGGGAGGTCAGGTAATGTAATTATGTGCACAAAACACCACATCTGTAATTCTACTCCCATCCGAATCGGCCATGTCAGTAATTTTTACATGACAGGAGAGTAACAATTTCAGCCAGATTAACCTACAGTTTTTTGCCGAACTCCAAGATCCTCTGATAATACTAGTTCCGTGCGAATCGACATCCCTGTGTTTTGAGAGAAATGTCTGAGTGTGACAGGTGATGCTTGCGGTTTGAGAAAGAAAATAATTGATTAGATAAATTGAACGAAGTACTGCGCATAAGATATATATGAATGGCCTCCATGTTTCAACTTTCACAGTGAATGCTTTTGTTTATATGTTGTGTGCGTATGAATTGAATATTGCCTTATGCATCAGTAAAACATATTGCGCCTATTTAATGCAACCCTTGCTGTTAATAGATCGCAAAGTAGCATACAACTGACCTAAACGTTTGGAAATGACAAGTTAACTTTTTAATCCATAGCCTTATAAGGCATCTCAAGTGCACTGTTTAGCTCACATCTGAAGGCTGTGATAAAATATCCTAATGATTATGATCACACTTCCTCAATTAAAATATTATGGCAACACTATACCAAAGAGGGTTTAGTATGATTTAGAAACTTGGGAACCAAACTCGAGTTATCAGTGTAGCGCTGTTGTCACCTGGACTTGTTGAAATACGAATTACAGGGGGTAGTTTGAAAAACGCTAATCCCGTCCGAATCTCCCTCTGGAATAACGGACATTCTGGGGTAATAATTACATAACCAACGTTCTCTAGTAATACTAGTCCCGTGCGAATAGGGTTTATGGAAGGGGGTGAGAACCACAAGCCTCCTAGGTTTTGTATTGAAGTCAATGTACCCAGAGGACAGAAACTCGCTGTCCTCCGGCTACACCATGTGCTACTCTACAGAGTGCTGTTGAGGCTACTGTAGACATTCAGTACAAACCGCTCCGCAACGCAGCGAACTTGAACACACCACAGAAGTATCTTATAGCTGCTAGCCTCGGGTGCAGTCTGTGGTACTGATCCTCTTATTGTGCTTGGTAAAATAAAATAGGTGTCAACTCGTAATTTCTTTAAGTCGACTACAAAATGCCACATTTACAATATATTTAGTGAGATAGGTTCTAATTGAAATCTGGGCTACAGTCTATGACTGAAGTTTAGCCATAGAGTCCAGGAACTACGAAACCATATACAAGAAATCAAATGATCATAATCCTAAAAAGTTAAATGAATTTGGGTGTGAAACCACCTCTAATCAAATGATGCTATGTCAGTGATGTGTTAGGTGTATAGTGCCGATCTAGTGCACAGACTAAGGAAACCCACTTTGCGACAACTTTCATTAACAAAACACTTTATTGCAGCACAGTTTGTCATTATTACATATAAACTACTGCTCTTTTGAGTGAGGGAAAGAAGACAGCCGCTTGGAGCAAACATTTAGGAGTAAAACATTTAAAAAAAAACATATTCACAGACTGATTCCACATATTGTAGTGATATAGAAAGTTGATGGCCATCAGCTACCTCCCATAATGGGCCAATAGAACAGAGAAAATGGATCTTAAACATTATCAGACTCAAATATATTAAAACCATACCATGCTGTATCACTTGCCACTTTCTCCCCAAAAGTTGTCAAATGTCTTCACAGATTATGCATGTGTACTTTGACATTTAAAAAAAGGTCCAATGCAGCCGGGGTTTTTTAAAATCTCAATATCAAAATATTTCTGGGTAACAATTAAGTGCCTTATTGTGATTGTTTTCAATTAAAATGGTAAAAAAAAAAAAGAGAAAATAAAATAGCTTCTTAGCAAAAAGCAATTTCTCAAGCAATAATTCCTTTTGGACCGTTAGGACTGTCTGGGAGTGGTCTGAGTGAGGCACCTAATTGGAGAAGCTTAATGGGAGGGATATGTAACCTGAAAACGAGGTTTGGAACTCTGTTATTAGTCTATTACAGTTTTTTACAATGGCACTAATTTCAGAACCTTGACATCATTTTTCAAAACTCTAGACACAAAACTCACAACCAATGATCAAAATGCACATTTTTCAATTGCTTGGATACAATACACATAAAACTAAGATAATTTGTTCATTTAACAAAAATCACCTGTTCAATACGACACAACTTAACATCAAAGTACTACTATTTCAAAAGGCAATTCGCACATTACATTTCAGATGAGTGTCTATTAATTTCATTACAATCATCAAACTATCAATTGATACAACTGCTCAAAATGATAAGTAACTGTTGCATTACTCTTAATGCATACTTGTATGGAAACAGACAAACAATATTCCATGTTTAGATCATGAAAGTTTCAAGATAACGAGATTCATTGTCACCAATTAGCGTGGAGCATGAACCAATTAGACTACATTATCTATGGATGTAATATTTCATCATCATTCTTTATCAGACACCGTTTCTATGGTCCCATGTACCACCTTTTCAGACTACTTACAGTATTCACAGTACTGCACTGTATGGATGCGGGCCCTTGTAATTGCTTGTCCAATTCTGCCAACTCGTTACTGATGATTGAGTTCACATTGTGGAACGAGTATATAAAGAATTGATTGGGATCCACTTGCAACAACATAGCGATACGTACTGTAACATGGAGCCGGCAGGTGATCCAGGTCACAAGAGGTCAAGCAGTGGTGGGAGGAAGACGAGGAAGACGTGTTGGTCAAAGGAATGGCAGGGGACAAGCACCCCTTCTGAGAGGTGGTCGTGGGCCTCGTTTGAGAGGTGTGGGGGAACGTGGTAGAGGACAAGGCCACGGACCAAGACAAGGCCACGGACCTTCCTTGATGAGCTCGATCAGGTCTGTAGAGCTGATGGCGTGACCTATGTCATTGTGTGGGATAATGTCAGGTTCCACCATGCTCATATGGTGCAAGCATGGTTTCAGGCCCATGCACAATTTACCACCCTATATTTACCCCCATACTCTCCTTTCCTTAACCCGATTGAGGAATTTTTCTCCACATGGAGATGGAAGGTTTATGATAGGCGCCCTCATGAACAAGTCACTCTTCTCCAGGCCATGGATGACACATGCAATGACATCACGGCAGACCAGTGTCAGGCCTGGATTCGCCATGCCCGAAGGTTTTTTTCCAAGATGTTTGGCTAATGAAAACATCCATTGTGATGTAGATGAGAACCTGTGGCCAAATCCACAAGACAGAGTTGATGAAAATGTAGAAGTACAGTAATCACTCCTATGTTTTGCTTTTTACAGTACAAGCAAGCAAATTGAGGAACACTGCATTTGATGTTTTACAGTATTGTATTGTTTTTCACCAATATATTTCAGATTTTGTTCAATGATTCCATTGTGTCTGTAGTATTCTCTCTACTACTGCAGTACTTTTACAGGGATGTATTTACATGTAGTACCATAATGAAACATGTATCACCTATTTTGTACTACAATATTTAATGATTGTATGAACAATGACACAGTGAAACTAATTGGTTGCTTGTGTGTGGGTGATCTAAATTAACGTTTCATTGGTATTTCACAATACATTTGTTTTTGAACCAATGATTGTGCAAGTGCAATATTTCTTTAAAGATATGAATGCACAATGCAATGTTTTGAAGATTGGACAGCCTGTGTTACAAGTGATGACCGTTTTGAGTTTTGTGTCTAGAGTTTTGAAAAATGACGTCAAGGTTCTGAAATTAGTGCCAAAGTGATTGTAAAAAACTGTAACTAATACCGCCGGGTGATTGCGCCAGGTAGGCCAAAACTCCACCAATGCAAAATGAGCTGAAATTTCAGGCGTTCTTTTCAAACAGCTCTTACACTAAAATGGCATTATCATTTTCACATAATTATTCCAACCTCATTGTGGAAATATAGATAAAACATAGGAAAATCATATTTATGACTGCACTACCCCTTTAAGAGGTGAGTTTCAGCTTGAAGAGGACAGTCTGAGGTGTGGTGACATCCGCCACTGCTAGTTCCTGTCCATCAGACAATCCCAGTTCTGCAACACCACAACATTACATTTACAAGATGGCCGAAACAAACACATAGATTTATATAGTCTACCACACACATACCATGCACGCATTTGGAAAAAAAAAAAAAAACATCTTACCTTTCAAGGTTTTGCAAAGGTTTGGTCTAGTTCTTTCTTCAATTGAACCTACAGTCTGTAAATACAGTGTCTTATTTTTCCCATCCAGGGTTGCTGTGATGGCTGGGGACTTCATTTGTCTGGAAAACAAGAACGTTTTAAAGTTAACAACGACAACTTCACATTTACACTTCAATAACCATAAAAACAGCCTATTCTGTGTGAAGACATGACAGACGTCAATATCAGTCAATCTGGCTACTAGCAGATGTACTCACAGGGAGGCGTTCTCCGTCAGGTACTCCAGGACCTCCTGTAGCTTGGCAGAGGGTGGGAACTGTAGATCCTGGGGCACCTGGCTACAAGCTGAGCAGTTCTCCTGTCAGACCAAACAAGAACATGAAGGCACAAGTAGCCTGACACCACACCATCCCCTTTACAGCCTTGTGTGTCAATAGCACCGTCAGTAACATTAATACAGTTCTCCTTAATAAAATGGGCAAAAATATATCCATTAAGGATACTCATCTGGGTACACCCAATACATTACTAACCTTTCGCTCTGCCTCAAAGGTGTAGGTGTACAGTCCGTCCACAGAATTAAATACCAGATAATTATTCAGTGGAATATAAGCGCTGCAAAGTCAGAAAAGGGTAATATGAATATGATACCTAGTTTGAAATTGACCTTCTCTCCAGTGAGTCCATCATGTGGAAAAGGGATGATTCATAGTACTAACCTTGAAGCTATTTTAAAAACTTCTGTGGAGCAGGCAGCTACAAAGCAACAAAAAAAGGTAAAATAAGTTATACTTTACTTGAACCTAAATGTAAAAAAGTAGCTACTTGTAATCAATTTAGGATTCTTCAAGATAAAACCCAATGACACAGTCAATAAGGGTTTCCTACCAGCTATTACAGCATTAGTTGACGCCACAGCAGGGATGATCCTCTTCACGACACCTGAGGCAAAACCATGTCAAAATAAATCTTTAACTGTACTTTTCACAGATTTCGGCAACCAATACTTGTAAGCGGGGGAGTTGGTGTCAATACAACTTCAACTCAAATGTTACAAAAATGGAAAATGGAATTGAAAGCAAATGTTGCTTGTACTATACAGTTTGTATAACTGAAAGCTGGTAAAACATGAGTTTTACCATCTTCAGGACAGGGTGTTACAGTATGGTTCTCCTCACCTTGTGTGAGTCTGTATGTGACTCCTGTGATGCTGTAGTCAGCAGCTCTGTCCTGGGCCCTCTGGAACACCCACTGGATGTGCTCAGGGTTATCCCCATCCAAACCAACACCATCTGAGGGACAGACAAGAGCCTGACAGTCATTATCTGCCATTATCTGTTATAATGGGTATTATGTTGATCTTTATGATAGTGTTATGAAGGAATTATGACCACCTAAAGGCACATTGGGCAATACCGCAATTTGGGGAGGGGTAGGTGGGAGAGGTTGAGGGTAGCTGAAGGCTGGGACTAAAAACAAACAAAAGGTAACTAATGTAAAATATACTGTCCGTAAAATGTATTTGGTATGTATAAGCTGGAAGTAGAAGCCTGAGTATTGTTGTCCATTAATTTACTCCAATTAGGGGAGGGGTGGTAGGTTTAGAGGAAAACAAAGAAGGAAAATATATCATAATAAAAAATATTTTATATATATATATATATATATATATATATATATATATATACATACATACATACATACACACACACACACACACACACACACACACACACACACACAGAACAAAAATATAAACGTAACATGTAACAATTTCAACGATTTTACTGAGTTACAGTTCATATAAGGAAATCAGTCAATAAAAATAAATTCATTAGGCCCGAATCTATGGATTTCACATGACTGGGCAGGGCATAGGCCCACCCACTTAGGAGCCATGCCCAGCCAATCAGAATGAGGTTTTTTTTTTCCCACAAAAGGGCTTTATTACAGACAGAAATACTCCTCAGTTTCATCAGCTGTCTGGGTGGCTGGTCTCAGACAATCCCGCAGGTGAAGAAGCCGGATGAGGTCCTAGGCTGGCGTGGTTACACGTGGTCTGCGGTTGTGAGGACGGTTGGACGTACTGCAAAATTCTCTAAAACGACGTTGGAGGCGGCTTATGGTAGAGAAATTAACAATAAATTATCTGGCAACAGCTCTGGTGGACATTCCTGAAGTCAGCAAGCCATTGTGTTGTGTGACAAAACGGCACATTTTAGAGTGGCCTTTTATTGTCCCCAGCACAAGGTGCACCTGTGTAATTATTATGCTGTTGAATCAGATTCTTGATATGCCACACCTGTCAGGTGGATAGATTATCTTGGCAAAGGAGAAATGCTCACTAACAGTGATCTAAACAAATTTGTGCACAACATTTTAGAGAAATAAACTTTTTGTGCATATGGAACATTTCTGGGATCTTTTATTTCAGCTCATGAAACCAACACTTTACATGTTGTGTTAATATTTTTGTTCAGTATATCTATTCCCTTAATAACACATTTTTGTAAACCTTTTTTTTTATTTTTTATACCAGTTTCCTGGCCGTTTCTGCTCTTTCTAAAAGCAATCAAGATGCAATCGGCCAGGGCAGAAACGGCCAAAAAACAATGCTGTATTTCAAACTATACCGTTAGATGGACATAATGCCCCCACAACTGTTATAATAGGTATTATGTCAATCTTTATGATAGTGTTATGGAGGTATTATGACGGGTGATACAGCATAATAATTTTCTGACCTTTTTGATTGCAATCAAGAGGTGATGTGACATGTAATAATGAGTAGAGTGTTATTCATGGACGTACCTCCAAAAGGCTTGTCTTTGGGCCACTGTAGCATTCTGACATACTCAACGCAATGCTCTGGCAACCGCGGCATAGACGCAATGGTGCACATGGGGAAATGAATCTATGGACCAAAAGAATACAACAAATTAGGCTATACAACACACAAACAATTTAACACACACACCAAAGCTATCACTGATAAGCAACACAAAATGGCTGCAGAACACAAATCAATCTCCAACTTAACATTTAAATAGTCTACTGAAGTAGTACACTAAAAATGGCAGATATATTTGGCAGATCGGAGAGAGCTTGGAGCACCTGTGGTGGGTAGAGCTCCAGGGTGCAGTCGATGCATGCAGTCATGCCAGGCAGAATGACCCGAGCGTTGCCTTTGAAACCCTCCGTCCCACCATCAATGAGGGGGATGATGGACCTGGGATCCAGAACACCATCCTCGTAGCTCAGGAGAGATATCTGTAAATGGGGTCTTCAGTTATTTAGAACTGACGTTTTACACACAGGGATTTTTCTGCCATTGAAATCCTTGCGTTTTTATTAATACATTATCGGGATGGATAAACGCTTTCAGTGTAAACTTAAATGACTAAAACCAGATATAAATCATGTCTAAAAGATAAATGGACCTGTTATATAAACTTTGAGAACTAACAATCACCAAAATAAAAGCTAGGCAGTCTGCAAAATGTGTAGAATTGCAGGAAATTAGCTTTAAAACAAACAATTTCTCTAAGCTCCATGGAGAAATGTGTAGAATTGCAGGAAATTTGCTTAAATATTCCAACATTTCTCTACACTGCCAAGTTTGGGGCCTCTAAACATTTCTCAAATCCAGCTGTGCCGACCGTGCCCATTGCCACGCTCCCTGCCACGCCACCTTCCATGCCCACCACCTAAGCCCCTTTTTAATCCAGAAAAAACCCTGACATATACACACAGTCCACATAGCATATAGTTTATATTAAGACATACCAGCATGCCATTCATCCAACGCCTGGCGATGATGGAATCTAATCCACAAACAATAATATGGAATTCTATAAATAAGAGAAGAAAATGTGTGTCAGAGCCATTGTTATAGGTACAAATGATTTTAGAAAACTCCATAATGTACACAAAGTCTGCACTTACGTCTGTAGAAAGATTCATCAAAGTCTTGGATTTTGTTAAAGTGTCTGAGCAGGATATTATTTAAGAAACATTAATAATAGAAGATACTTCTACAAATGTTCACATGCTCAAGCTTAGTAATGCAATAATTTGTATGGGGTAATCCTACACTCCGGTATTCAACACGTCAGTTGCAAAGGATACGGGACGACTCGACATCCAGGGACGCGACTATTGACAAAGTCAGCAGCCACATCTGCTTTCGGCCGTCCAACATCTTTGGTCCTAAACAGGGTATACAGATGAGTTGTGTGTGTTTAACAGTAAACTCTTAAGACTCTCTCTTTCAGTAGGTTTTTTTCTATCAACCGTGAACACACTAAGGTTGTTATTCATCATAAGTAATAGATGAATGGCCATAGGAGAAGGTGGGAAAATGGCAAGCCAAACCTGAAAAGGAACTGCCTGTTGAGGTTGGAGATATCAATGGTATCCATGTCAACAACATGAATGTGACGAAAACCTGACAGGGCCTAGAACAAGGCAAAACCACACATTAAAGTAGAACTGACAGCATTTTAGCAACATTACATCTTATTCATATACACCCCCAGGAAGAATATGACGCATTTTCTTACATTTTCTGACAAGCGAGCAATTAGATATGGTTGTTTTCCATAAATTCATAGAATGTTTGGGAATGACGTATAGTAAGGGATTTGTGAGAATTCTATAGCAATATTGAGTGGGAAAGCAGCCGTGCGTTTGGACAATTAATAGACACTGCAGTAAATAAAACCTAATAAAAACATTGGTCTTGTCCAGGACCGGAGTCTATGCAGACCTGTGCACCATAGCCAATCAGAGCTACAGTAGGTCTATATGCAAATAAGCCATTTGCTACACAGGCCTGCCATCATTCACTTTGAACTGGACTGTGTGTTTACAGGCAGTAGCAACAACGCGACTTTCGATCATTAGAACGCATTCGCCAAAAGCCCAAAATAAATACACCTGAATAGATTTCTGCAAATATGTAAATACCACGGGAGTTGTCTTACATTTGGGAACGTCACAATCCTATTGATCAAACAACCATGAAAAGGTAGGCTCTCTCCCTCAGTTGCCTATGCACATCAACAACTAATGCTAGCCAGAGCGAGATGAGCTAAAATCTAACTAAGGAATATTAGATAAACCCTCTCAAACTTGTTCAGCTAGTTGGCTGTCAAAATTACACTGATAAACAATGGGGAATAGTAACTAGCAAAACAATTCACATGTTTTGCTAGTTAATGAAAAGACAGCAGCATCCCTAGCTGTAGCCACCAAAAAAGTGGGTGACCTTACGCAGATTAAGATAAGCAGAGTAAGGTGTTTACTAACGCCATACTCGGCCTTCTGCCATAATCAGTTTAATATCAAATTATTAGTGTGCATGTAAACGTACTCACTGTCAAGCTTTAAAAGCCAAAGCCAGACTGGAACATTTTAGTAGCCTAGCTAGCCATATGTCTGCCTGTAGACTTTCCCTCCGCTGCACACTGTAAACGAGACCTATGCGAGTAAGTGCATCAGGCTGTAATTTCATAAAGTAAACGATTCAACTGTTGACTCATTTATACTGTGTGTCCTGTTCGGCCCACGGGTCTTGTGTTTGACACGAGCGCTGGCCTATTAGCCACGTTATGACTGACTTTTGATCATTTCCCTTGATAGTTTGATTGTATTGACATTCCCAGCCTTAGTTACAGTCGTCCGTTTTTGTTCAAAATATTGAGTCATTGAAACTGAAATCTGAATGGGTGGAGGCAGCAAACAATGGACCAGGCCATCTGTGATATTTTTTTATTTTATTTAACTAGGCAAGTCAGTTAAGAACAAATTCTTATTTACATTGACGGCCTACCCCGGCCAAACCCGGACGACGCTGGGCCAATTGAGTGCGCCCTATGGGGCTCCCAATCACAGCCGGATTGTGATACAGCCTGGAATCGAACCAGGGTCTGTGGTGACACCTCTAGCACTTGAGATGCACCGCTGCGCCACTCAGGAGCCCAACCTGATAGCAATATTTTTTGGACTATTATACAGCAATGAAGTCCATCCATTTATACTGCCAACAATGCCTTACTGTACGTCATGGAATTTTGAGTCAAATAGAACCTATTTTTAAAACCTCTCTTTTGTAGCATAAACTGGGAATTGCATATATGCAAAGTAGTTCAAATGCTGTCAGTTCAACTTTAAGATATTGAAGTGCAGAAACAGACAAAGATAACAAACAAAAGCCTTGCATGCATTTGCACCTGGAAGCTGGACATAATCTCTCATACCAGATTTTTGAGCAGCTCACACCCAAGTCCTCCAGCTCCAATGACCAGGATCTTGCATGTCTCCAATAAGAACCCAAGGGACTGGGAACATAAAAGAGTTGGTTTGGTGAATGCTTATCTCTATCCCCTAAATAAAGGAAATGTTATTAGTTATCTATTAGTTATTCCTTCCTTACCTCAGTGCTTGGCTCAAAGTCAGGATGAGTGAATGGGCCGGGTCTCTCAAGGAACTTCTTCACATGGTTCCATCGGCCATCCCAGTCTCCACTGTCTCCTCCATCTACAGCCATTCTGCACACAGAGAACACAAAGGTGCTCTGCTGCACATATCAAATGAGAAATCATTCAAACCATTATCACAAGTGTGATGAGTCAAAACTAGATAGCTAGCTAGGTAGACACAGGTCTGTAACATGTACATTAACATCAGGATGATTTCCCTAGTATAGCTAACTAACTAGCAAGCTAGTACCTATTAAATTATTTGATTATCATATGTGAAAATTCAGGCTGCAGATTTAATCATTGGCAGCAGATGTTGCTGCTGCTAACTAGCTAGTGGAAGCTAGCTGGCTACCATAATAGCTCTCGAAAACTCTAGGCGGCATTTTGCATTCTCCCTACTACAGTTCTCAGCGGTTAGCGTCGCCCACGACTGGCTCATGTCAACTACAATCACGATGCTGTTTTAAAAGGTGTACTAAGCAGAAATCGCTCCGTCATTTCCTGGTTGCTAAAATTCTAATAGGTCGCCTAATTTCAGTTTATGTGACAAAACAAGCAAGTACAGTGTAGAGAATCATTGTACCATCTAAACCGCTGTGAAATATATTTTCCATTAGCAAAAATATTCAGGGTTCGTACAGACAGTGGTAAGTCAAATTCAAGGACTTTTAAGTACTTTTTCAAGCACTAATATTCATTATCAAGGACCATAAATTTGTAATAGTTCCTATTATGCAATTGTTTCTAGTCACCAACAGATGGTAGTATATCGCCACAACCTCATGAAAAAAAAAGTATAACTTACTATACATCACTCCCTTACAAGTCCTACTCAATAATACGTGTTCCACTATTTATTTACTACATACATTTGTGGTAAGTCAGTACTGATGATGTTGACTTATTTCCTTATGCGAACTGTAACTCAGTAAAATCGTTGAAATTGTTGCATTGAGTGTTGATCAATGCTGGGAACACAATAATAAGTGGGTAAACGATAATTAACTAAATAAAAAAAAGGTGAGTAAACGCTATTTCACAAATAAAAAGGTGTGTAATTGGCATTTACCCTCACAACATCCCTGGTTGTGGTCTGGCAAAACCCATTCATAAACATCAATATCCTGCCAGGCAGGCTTGAATCTACATTTGCCCGGCATTTTAGCTATCGATGTGACGTTTGGCGGCGCCTAATCAATAAGTTCTGTACCTGCCTGGCTGAGTGCCAGTGTGGGTGGCATGAACGATCTCGCCTGGCAACCAGAGCGCGAAAACACGTGAGGAAAGAAAACTTGGTAGTCTGCCTGGAAATTATATCATATTAACATATTTGATCATTTTCTGTTTTCCTCTCATTTTAATTAAAGTACTTTTCAAGTACCAACTTCAGATAATGTCTGATTTAAGGTATACCAGTACTTGAATTTCAGAGTGCCAAATTCAAGTACCTTAAGCACCTCATGCGTCCCTGAATATTGTATTTTCAGCTGTTTGAAGCTGGTGTACAAAACTGAAAGTAAAAGAACCAAAAATGAAACTTAAGTACAGGAAGCATATAAATTGTGAACAGAACAGCTTCTTAGACTTGCTTGCAATCAGAATGACAGAGCTATAACTCACATTTCTATGTGAATTTGGTCAGGTCCCACAAAAAGTTACATATTGCAGCTTTAAGGTTTAGAAACGCCAATAACCATTGCTTGCATACAGCTTTCGAAATATATGGACCTTAACTTTTATCAGCGAGAAAGAATCCTTGAAATAAGAAAGATACACTTACTGTATTACTTCTAATACAGATCCATACAGCTATGGGTGCCTCCATCTGATGAAACTACACTTCTACTACACTTACCTGGTTACATTTAAGATAACTAATTAGCACAGTTGGTCGGCTCTGTCTTATATCTGTAAACAAGCGCTGTAACATGGAGATATGGCCATGTGGGTACACTAACCCTATAAAAAGGTGTGCATCAATTTAACCTTTTGTTTTCTGAAAATGATTTCTCGCTGATATTAAAGATAAGGTCATTATGCTTCCAAAATCGTACCGCAAGCGATGCGTGTTAATGTTCTTCTCAGTCAGCTCCTCTATTTTCCTTCTTTTCTTCTCCCTAAAAATTAGAGAATAAAAGAAGGTTCAATGCTTGTTTTACAGCAGCATAATTCGGTCAGCTACAATATCTATTTTGGTAACGTTACTTACGGCTCTTCAGCATCCGCCATACTTTCACGCTGCCATGTCCCAAGTGAATGTGTGAATGTACTGTATATTCACGAAAATCAAACCTGCGTTAGCATATGTGCTCAAAGTTTATATGGATTTGCTGCGACTTTTTGTGTAGCACGCTGTTATAATGGTGCTTTCACGACAACTGAGAACTCGGAGAAAACGAGGTCAAATCATCACGTCAGTGATATTCGGGTCGGAAAGTCGGAGCTCTAGAAAGATGCCCGAGATTCCGAGTTGGATGACCGTTCAAAACGATTTTCCCACTCGGAGCTCATTTTTCCCGAGTTCTTTAACGCTCGGAAGTCAGAGATTTCCGAGTTCTCAGTTGTTTTGAACGAGGCATAAGGTGAAGCTATAGACTGTAAAAAAAATAAAAATAGAGTGAAGCACAACGCAATTTTGATTCGCATCAACATTACTGCGCTTGTCCTACTCTCGCGAGAAGCTGAACTGCTAAGAACGAAAACTGATTTGATCAGCTGATCATTATGTATGAGAGAGGTTCCAAGGTGTGAGAAGTGTGCAGAAGGGTATGAGACAAAGGAATATGTAGCATTGGGGAAAGTAGTGGTATGTGCTAATTGTAGGGGTGCCCATGGGGGGGTCAGAAATGTCCCGTGCGAGAAAGGCAGGTTGAGGTTTCCAGGGTAAGAGTAGTGAAGAAGTTGTCATATGCTGAGGCAGTGAAGAAAGTAGAGGAAGATGGGTCAGGGGGGAGGAGTGGTGAGAGTAGTAGATATGTACCAGTACAAAGGATAGGCCAACAAGTGATATATGTTTCAGTAAGATTGGATTTTTAGCGTTTATAGCAATGGTTATTAATTGTACTGCAGAATAAAATTGAGGTTGTGGTGGCAGCTGCAGAGAGGTATTTGGGTGTGCGAGACTTGACATCAGAAGAGTTACAGGAAGTGTGTGATGTCCCATCATTTCAGGTTGAGGGCATGAGGTAGGAATTAATATATATATTATTTTTTAAATAGTGGAGTAGGGCGGTGTTAATTATTAATAATATTTTTGATTTTGTGTGTGTGTAGTGTTAGATGGTAGGGTATTTCTTTATTTTATTTTTCAAGCAAAATATAAGGGAGTTGTACTCCAGTCTTGTAGGTGGCGGTAATGCAATAAATTGGATGCCAACCGCCGTTAAACCTCATCGAAGAAGAAGAATCAGCTGCTCAGTCAAAATACTCTGGCAGTGAAACTCCGAGATGGCGAGTATGGAGCTTGCACCGCTTAGACCATGGGATGACTTCTTCCCAGGAGCCGATAGATTTGCAAAACCCGACTTCGGAGATTTAGCTAAATGGAACAACAGGGTGATCAGCAACTTGTTGTACTATCAGACCAATTATTTCGCAGTGGCCATAGTGGTTTTCCTGATCGTGGGGTAAGTCAGCATGACAGCGCGAGTTTACTGGCAGTTTCCACCCAGCTGCTATAGCTAGCTAAGTTAGATAGCTAGTTTCTTTGATTAGCCTGCAGTCTGATCCACACCCAGTCATGGGCATTTATTCATAGCAATGCGCAGTCCCTATCAACCTTTCATATTACTGCAACGGCAAAATAAGAGATCCAGTCATGTCATGGAATTGGAATGGAGTCTGGTATTAGCTACTGTAGTTGGCCTGCTAAAAACAAATGTCACTTTTCCTGAATCAGCTGCCTGCAACTGTGTGTGACATGCTTTGAATCATGGGGGCCATGATGAACATAGTAATTACTAGGTAGTGTAGGCCTTAGGCTAATAGTAACCAATTTCTTTATATTCTAGTTTTTATTTGAGAACTTGAGTACCTTTTGGCTTTTGAAATAAACATAAATGGTACTCAAAATATAAAAAAGTACTCAAGTACGAAACTGAACTCTGTCAAATTTGATGTCAGATTTTTGTTCTATTAATAGTCTCTTGAGTCTGCTTGACAATGACAACACATGGATGCTTCAAGTTGTCCCAGCTGTTGGGTCCTTATCTCAGCCACACACTGATGCATGTAGAAGTATGCAGATAATACAATTGATAAGAAAGCCGAGGAGCAGCTTTGTATGCGTCATAATTACTAAAATGCAGCTACAGTAGCTTGAACGCTCTGATATTATTTTAGAAAATGGCTCAGATAAAAATAAATAAATAATGTAAAGGTGTTGATCTTATTCCAGCCACCAGGTTGTGCTGTACATTACATGTGTTGCGTTTTAGAGGCCCAATTGTTTTGCATTGCCATGTATAGCATTTGAGTGGATTTAGAGGCTGCGTAATCTGTGTTTCCCTTCTGCTGTGTCTGTTGTGTAGGTTTCTGAACCCTCTTGGCATGTTTCTGGGTGGTGCTGTGGTCTCTCTGGTCTTCATGGGCTCGGTGTGGGCGGGAGAGAACAAGAATTTCATCAAGAACTTCAAGAAGAAGAACCCCACTCTGTTTGTCATCGCTGTCATGGGAACAAGCTACTTCCTGCTGTCTCTGTGTGGTGGAGTGATGGTCTTCATTTTTGGAATTACTTTCCCCTTGCTGTGTGAGTCTCAGAAAATTCCACACTCATAGGGTCAGTTTCTTGGACACAGATTAAGATCTTAGTCCAGGACTAGGCTTTATCTGTGTCCGGGAATCCAGCCCTTAGGGTCTGATTCCTGTTAGTCACACAATGCACAAGTATGCACACAGTAACTAGCATGTAGATTTATCCTAGCTTCCAGGCCTTTTTCCAGTGGCAACTCCATTGGAATATGGTGCAAACTAGCTACATATTGTATACGCCAGATAAAGTGATATAACCAAAGATTTTTGGTGTGCATTACTGGCTGTTACAGGAAAGCCCCATACAAACTGCCACCATAGATTTTTCAACTAACCTGTTCTTGGCAAGTACTTTCTTCGTTTTCGATTCGGTGTAAGAAGTATCATAGAAATATCCGTTTCCAGTTGCAAGTGGTTCTACAAAAACCAGTGGAAACTCTCCAAAAATATTAAATCCATGTTTTGTTCCTCACCATCTTAGCTGCCGCACATCTAGCACTTCCTAGCATCTTTGCAGGAACTATTTGTTTCTATGCAACACGGCCACGATCTACACACATGCAAGAGGCATATCTCAATCGATACAAAACATGGATTTAATATACACTGGACAAAAATATGAATGCAACAAGCATACTCACCAGATATGTCACCCATTGAGCATGTTTGGGATGCTCTGGATCAACTTGTACGACAGCGTGTTCCAGTTCCCACCAATATCCAGCAACTTCGCACAGCCATTGAAGAGGAGTGGGACAACATTCCACAGTCCACAATCAACAGCCTGAATAACTCTATGCGAAGGAGATGTCACGCTGCATGAAGAAAATGGTGGTCACACCAGATCCACGGCCCTACTTTTTTTTTTTTAAGGTGTTTGTGACCAACAGATGCATATCTGTATTCCCAGTCGTGAAATCCATAGATGAGGACCTTATTAATTTATTTCAATTGAATAATTTCCTTATATGAACTGTAATTCACTAAAATCTTTGAAATTGTTGCATTTATATTTTTGTTCAGTATAGATAAATACGCAAAAAACATTTCCATAGCGGGCCTTGTTCTAAAAATGTATATATTTTTTTATTTGATTACTCCCAAAGAAATCATGCGAGTACTCGACTAGCCAAAACATTAAATGCCCATCCCTACTATAAACAGACATGTCTAAGATACTTTTTTCACAGAATCGACAGCGAAGAAAGTATCGCCAAGAAACTACCTCTACTTTCATATCACATCAAAATAATTTCACAAATGCAAAATACACATTTACTGTACACTGTTTTAACCGGTTTTAACACAGTTGCAGCCAACAGTATTTGATTTGTTATTTTTCAAGTTTGTGGCGTCCGTCTTCCGTTTACACACAGGTGTTTGGAGATGCAGATAGCTAATTAGCACAGGTGGTCAACTCCGTCTTCCGTCAGTTTTCCGTAAACAAGCGCTGTAACATGGAAATATGACCATGTGAGAACCCTAACCCAATAAAGGTGTGTAGTAATTTAACCTTTTTTTGTTTTATTTTTTTCTAACTGATATAAAAGATACGTTCCTTATGTTTCCAAAACCGTGCCGCAAGCGATGCATGTTGAAGTTTAGAGCAAGAGTTGGGGCTCTTAACATAAGCCCCCCGGTCAGAAGATACTATCGTCAATAGACGCTAAAGCAGTTAGCGTCTATGAATGGGGTAAGTGCAAACATGGGGGATGAGTCCCAGAAGACGGAGCAAACCGGTTTTATCAACCACTCTCACTGATTTTATGGGTTCAATATGGATAATGCATGTGGTTCTGCACCTTGAGAAAACGTTTTTTTCCCCCACAGTTCAACTTTCATAAACGTGCCACTGTTTTGAAAAGAAATAGCCTAGACCAGTGTTTCCCAACTCCATTCCTCGAGGACCCCAAACAGTACACATTTGAATTGTAGACCTGGACAAGCACACCTTATTCAACTTGTCAACTAATCATCAAGCCCACGTTAAGTTGAATCAAGCAAGTTTGTCCAGAGCTACAACAAAAATGTGTGCTGTTGGGAGTACTCGAGGACTGGAGTTGGGAAACACTGGCCTAGACGAACTGCTACATTCTGAAATACACAGTACAGAATACAATGTTTAGGGTAATTGGTGGTTCTGAGAAAAGGAGTGCAGGCAACAACTGTAACATTGTGGTGGAAAAACAGCAGGCAGTCAGTCAGTGAGACAGAGCCCTTACCAAGAGGGCTGTCCTGTGGCTGCCGACGTGTGTTGACTGGTTGCTATGTACTGTCTGTACTATAGACTCCACTACATTTACTGGCTTACGTCATGCAGTCAGCATCTCTGACGAGGGAAGTAAAGATGCCTCTCCTTAACCCGCTAGCCAATTGTATTTCATAATAACATATTATACCTGGAAAATAATTATCCTTCTCAGTTTAAGCCGCATAAGAGTAAGGCACACGTGTGCACTTTTACAACATGTTTCCATCTGACAGAATGGGAACATGCTACCATGGGAATCTCCATTGAGGATAGCACATCCTGAATGGATAGGAAACTAATCCAGCCTTTCTTCCCTGTAGTGATCCTGGTCCATGCGTCTCTGAGGCTGCGCAACATGAAGAACAGACTGGAGAATAAGATGGAGGGAGTGGGCATGAAAAAGTCCCCAATGGGCATCATCCTGGATCTGCTAGACCAACAGGAGGAGAAGATCAACAAGATCCAGGACTTCCTGGAGTCAAAGCTAAACAAGGAATGAGGGGAGAGAGCCAAAATGGCACCGCACCCTCATTCTGATTAAATTCAACATGGTTTGCGTTGATTTGTACCCCATATCATGTCAGTGGTGTCGCATTCCCCCTATTCATTATTCTCACTCCATTTGCTTTGTTATATTGAAACACCTTTATACATTTTGTGTCACAGTACCTGATTTCTTTGGAGCATTCCAGAAAGATTTGTGCAGTCCTGTATGGATCAAATGTTGTGGAAGGCACTTGGCACAATGAAATGAGGCATGAGCATTCCTGTGTGTATTGTGTGTCCATTCAAATGAACACACAATACACATTGTCATTATGTAATTGCAATATGTATCCGGTCACATTTTACTTTTGAGCGTGTGCATTTTTCAATGTCGAACAAAATAAAGCTGCATGCCAGAATGCAATAACTATTGCACGTTAAAGCAATTGTGTTCAGTAACGTAGCATTTCGATTTATAATCTTTAAAAAAAAAGATATTAGCAAATCATTTCATCAATCAGAACCAATTTATTTGCTACCTCAGAAGAATAACCATCACTATATTTCCTCTCCTTAAGCTAAACTGGTGTCACTGGGCTCCCCTTATGTTCACTGGACCAGTGACTGCTTATTGACAAGTAGCAATAATGTCCCTCTTGTTACTTCAGACCCTGTGGGTTGGGCTTGAGATTAACATTATCAGATCATAGCTATGCAATATGGGAAAATGAATGGCAAATGCAGCTTTATTAATTGAAGTAGTCATCATGTTGTATATGTTAAAGTTGTGCTTTCATGTATCACCAAATCTTCTGTACTTGTGTATTCACCATAAAGCATGCAGAAAACAAATGTTTTCATTACAAAAAGCACAGGGTAAGGCACCAAAGTATTGATGGAGAAATTTTTAGTGCATGAATGTTACCTCTGTAATATTAAATATTACACACATTATGAATGGTTGATGGTGTATTTTTGTTGTGTATTAGAAAAGAGAGGTTCTGATTCTATCTTCCTTAGTAGCAGATGTTTGGAGATAAAAAAATAAAAATGCCAATCCCAATTTATCCAATTCCAGCGATCACCATTGGTAATTGATACAAAATTATTACATTGGTTTTATGACACTATTCAGATCCCAGAATGAAAGGCCCAGTGCACTCAAAAACATGATCTTCCTGTGTTTTATATATATTTCCAAGCTATGAAGTTGGAATAATACTGTGAAAATTATGATAATGCCCTTATAGTGTAGGAGCTGTTTGAAAAGACAGCCTGAAATTTCTGCCCGTTTTGGTGGGATGGAGCTTTGTCCCGCCTGGTGACACCACCAGGTGATACATTAGTTAATAGTCCAATAAGAAAGAGAGTTCCAAACCTCTCTGCCAATAACAGCACATTTTCAGTTTTCCCGTCCCCACTCAGACAGTCCTAGCAAAATTCTTGCTTGAGAAATTGGTCTTAGCTTAGAAGCTATTTTTGTTTCTTTTTGAAAACTGTCACAGTAAGGTACTTAATTGTTACCCAGAAATGATTTGATTATGAGATAAAAATGGCTACATTGGAACTGTAATTACACATGCTGTTTATTTGGACTGATGCAGATGCACAGTCTTCCAAAAAACTATGGCGAATCGCAATTTGTGTCCGCTTCAGCCAAATTGCTTTTAGGATAAAGGGTGCATAGCAGTGGAGGCTGCTGAGGGGAGGACGCCTCATAATAATGGCTGGAACGGAGTAAATTGAATGGCATCAAACACATGGAAACCATGTGTTTGATTTATTTGATACCATTCCACCCATTCCGCACCAGCTATTACCATGAGCCCGTCCTCCCCAATTAAGGTGCCACCAACCTCCTGTGGGGCTTGCTAATGTAATGGTTACAGTTTCAAAGACAACAGCTCAGAGAATGTTCTGTTATAGGGATGCTCTAACTTTTTTGTATGTTTTTTATTTATTGATGAGTTGTGATAATGTAACCACGGAATTTGAAGCAAAGCAATTGCACCATAACAATAAATACACTTAAAGGGATTCTCCTGTACTTTTGCATACTTTTTTGCCAGTTCTGAAAGTAGCGCCCTCGAGCCGAAAATTGCATAGTACATCACATGTGCAGATATGTGCACTACGTCATTGCTCTCTGTCTGTTGTGTGTGATTCTTGCTAGCTGTCACTCAAACGGCGAGGGGTTGAATCTCATTGGCTGGAACTCAAATTGCTAGGGGACTGTCCCATGTGGGGGGAAATATAGGGAAAATCGCACAGCACAGCTTCCAGAAAACATTCACTTTCAAACTAGGGATTTCATGGCTAATTGAGGAAAAACAGTAATTCTGCTCATAGATTATGCATGTATGAACTACACATTGACACATCCAGCCCAAAGTGGGATGTTAAAAAAATACCTATTAGTCGCCAAAGTACCAGAGTATGTCTTTAATTTAAGAAATCAAAATCATGTATTTTAACTACAGATGTAGGATCTTTAGTTGAGCCAGTTTGCTACAGCAGGAAAATAATCCTGCAGCAACAGGAAATGTGAATTATTATGTCAGTTATAATTCATGGAAATTTTTTGTAGGGGTTGATACACTTTTCATTAGGGCAAATCAAGTCTGACATTTTAAAGTGGAAATTACAAACTTCAGAAGCCTTTTTAAACCTTGAATAAATTACACGTTTGCATTTCCTGCTGTGCTGGAAAATTCTCAGCAACAAAAGAGTGATCAAATTATAGTAGCGGTCAAATTTATTTTCTCAAATAAATTACATTTAAACTGTTGGTCACCACACTTTGTTATTGGATTTTCAACATTGCAGAACCAAATATATTTTTGCTAACTTAAGTTCACAATATGAATTTAGACAATAAAGACAAAGGGCGTGGACAAAAGTATTGGCACCCTGGAGCTAGTACTTGGATGCACCACCTTTGGCCAAGATAACTGCCAACAAATGCTTCTTGTAGCCATCAATAAGCCTGCTGCACCTTTATACTGGCAATTTGTCCCACTCTTCAGCAGCCAACTGCTCCAATTCTTCAGTGTTTCAGGGATGCCCTCCACCAACTGTTGCTTTCAGATCTCATCCTACGTTTTGGATGTGATTCAGATCTGTGCTCTTCACTGGCCACTCCAGAACAGTCCAGCATCTCTTATTGAACCATTCATGGGTGCTTTTTGACGTGTGTTTGGGGTTGTTGTCCTGCTGTGGGGTTGCTTTGCTGCCTCTGGTACTGGAGGCCTTGAATGTGTGCAAGACATGACCTCAGCAGATTATCAAGGTGTTTTGTAGTCCAATGTTCAACCCAGTGTCCAAAAACTGTATCTCTGTTGAAGGTTGTGGGTCTTCCAGAAGAACAATGTCCCCAAACACACATCAAAAGCACCCTGGAATGGTTTAAGAAGAAACGTTGGACTGTTCTGGGGTGGCCAGCGAAGAGACGAGATCTGAATCACATCCATAACCTATGGCGAGAACTGAAAACAGCAGTTGGCTGCTGAAGAGTGGGAAAAATTGCCAGTAGAAAGGTGCAGCAAGCTCATTGATGGCTACAAGAAGCATTTGTTGGCAGTTATCTTGGCCAAAGTCGGTGCAACCAAGTACTAGCTCCGGGGTGTCAATAATTTTGTCCATGCCATTTGTCTTTATTTTCTGAATTAAAATTAAAAACCACATTTTACAAAAATAAAATTGGTTCTGAAATGTTGAAAATCCAATAACAAGGTGTGGAGAGTTACAGTTGAAGTCAGAAGTTTACATACACCTTAGCCAAATACATTTAAACTCAGTTTTCACAATTCCTGACATTTAATCCTAGTAAAAATTCCCTGTTTTAGGTCAGTTAGGATCACCACTTTATTTTAAGAATGTGAAATGTCAGAATAATAGTAGAGAGAATGATTTATTTCAGCTTTTATTTCTTTCATCACATTCCCAGTGGGTCAGAAGTTTACACACACTCAATTAGTATTTGGTAGCATTGCCTTTAAATTGTTTAACTTGGGTCAAATGTTTCGGGTAGCCTTCCAATAGCTTCCCAAAATAAATTGGGTGAATTTTGGCCCATTCCTCCTGACAGAGCTGGTGTAACTGAATCAGGTTTGTAGGCCTCCTTGCTTGCACACACTTTTTCAGTTCTGCCCACACATTTTCTATAGGATTGTGGTCAGGGCTTTGTGATGGCCACTCCAATACCTTAACTTTGTTGTCCTTAAGCCAGTTTGCCACAACTTTGGAAGTATGCTTGGGGTCATTGTCCATTTGGAAGACCCATTTGCGACCAAGCTTTAACTTCCTGACTGATGTTTTGAGATGTTGCTTCAATATATCCACATAATTTTCCTTCCTCATGATGCCATCTATTTTGTGAAGTGCACCAGTCCCTCCTGCAGCAAAGCACCCCCACAGCATGATGCTGCCACCCCCGTTCTTCACGGTTGGGATGGTGTTCTAGGGCTTGCAAGCTATCCCCTTTTTCCTCCAAACATAACGATGGTCATTATGGCCAAACAGTTATATTTTTGTTTCATCAGAACAGAGGACATTTCTCCAAAAAGTACGATCTTTGTCCCCATGTGCAGTTGCAAACCGTAGTCTGGCTTTTTTATGGAGGTTTTGGAGCAGTGGCTTCTTCATGCTGAACGGCCTTTCAGATTATGTCGATATAGGACTTGTTTTACTGTGGATATAGATACTTTTGTACCTGTTTCCTCCAGCATCTTCACAAGGTCCAAGGATTTATTTGCACTTTTCGCACCAAAGTATGTTCATCTCTAGGAGACAGAACACGTCTCCTTCCTAAGCGGTATGACGGCTGCGTGGTCCCATGGTGTTTATACTTGCGTACTATTGTTTGTACAGATGAACATTGTACCTTCAGGCGTTTGGAAATTGCTCCCAAGGATGAACCAGACTTGTGGAGGTCTACACATTTTCTTCTGAGGTCTTGGCTGATTTCTTTTGATTTTCCCATGATGTCAAGCAAAGAGGCACTGAGTTTGAAGG